CCCCCCCTGCCAGTCACAAGCCCGCCGTGTCCCTATTGGCCGTTTTAACTTCCATTCTGAGCAGGCTCTCGCTGCATTGGGAGAGTTCCCTGCCGCTCCTCTTCGGCCCGCCTCAGGCGCGCGGGATGCGCATTCTCAACATCTCATTGGTTGCAGCGGGGCGCAGTGGCCAGGCCCCTCCGCGAGGCGGGTCGCGCAGGCATGCTGCCACCCTATTGGCTAGCGGACGTGTCCGTTCGGGGTAAGTGTTGGGCGGCGGGGAGCATCGAGCCGGCGCTTCGACGGGGGCTGGAGTGTCAGATCGAATCCCGCCCCCCGCGCCGGCCTGGGCTTCGCACGCCAGGCTCCGGCCCTTCGGCGGGAAAAAAGCCCCGCCCCCGTTGAGGCGCTGCAGTAAGGGCCGGGCTGCCGCTTCCCAGAGCGGGTCCTGGCAAAGCCACCACTTTTGTCCCTGGCTGCAGCGGAGGGTCACTGCGGAAGGAGCGGGAGCTTGTGTGATGCTCAGGCCCAAAAAGCCTGCCCCACATTCGGGGGTAGCACAAGGGCCTGGCCCGCGGGGACAGGGGCCTTTTAGCAAGGCCAACGCAGCCCTGGAGACGAAGCAGGAGGGGAGGCGCTTGCTCAGAGAAAAGCCTGGTGAGCGTGAAGCCAGCCTCCAAAGGCCCGCTGCACACTTGGCACCAGTGCCACCAGCCAGCATTCTCCACCTCGGCGTCCAAAACCCCTTGCGGTTGTGCTGCAGCCGTGCGGCACGTCACTCGAGTCAGGACTGTTCCCAGGAGCAGGCCGAGGCACTGGGGCCCTCCACCCTGGTCTGCTTGGCTCCCAGCGTGACGTGTGAAAGCTACTTCCCTCCCCCTGCCTCAATTGCCCATCTGTAAACCAGGGATGGGACAGCTCTGACTATCACCACTTTGTCCAGTCTGTCAGATACAGGAGATTGGGAACAGTGCTGCAGTAGCTGTGTTGGGCTAGGTAACACTTGGGAAGCAAGGTTTGGTAATAAAAAATTCAATCTGTTCCCCCACCCCCAGGCTTAGTTGGCTAACACCATATTTTCTGTAACCTAGTTGCGTTCCCCTCCTCACCCCCATCCCTCTAATGTTAGTCCCTTGCTCGGGCGATTTGTATTTCCCTACTGGCTTTGTCATCTTTTTGGATTCACAATCCTAAACATCTGCTAATAAAATTCAATCTGTATTAGGCCAACTGTGCAATTGGAAAGAGGTGTTTGTCAGCTTTTGGGCCCAACGTGCCTTTACTTGGGTCAGTTTCCTCAATACGTTTTGTGCCCAGAGCTTAATTAATGTCTCTCCCAGCTATTTGCCTAGTCCAAGAAAAGACATCGCCAAATACATCCTGCTTCCATCACACAGGTTATGAGTGCCACATTTCAACTTTTTTTCCTGTGCTAAAGAAAACGGGGCTTTGATCCTTGAGTGAGGTCCTTAGGTATTACTATAACAACAATAACCGTAGCAATGAACTGTTCGGCACTTGTAGAGGGTACATCCTGTGCTGAATGATTTACAAATGCCTTGTCACTCTAAGAAACCCAACCAACAGCTTGCAACCTAGAACATTATCATTAAGCTCATCTTGCATGTGATGACATTGAGACACAGGGTGAGAACAGTTGCAGGGGCAGGACCATGCCCCATCGGGGACTGCACTAGGCATTCTGAATTCCCCAGTGGTATTTTCCCTGGTGGATTCTGCAGTCCCATGTGCAGGAGGTGACCATGTCACTGGACAGGACAACACACTCACACATAAAGCAGGAATCCACAGGGGCAGGTACTGGGACAACTAGACTGAGCAGTGCCTTCCCACAAGCAATTCACTTTGCTGCAGTGCTGCTTTGAGCAAGGACATCTTTATTATTTGGGTTTTGCTCGCTTGTCTTTGACTGAGACCAAAGTTCATGGAAGTTCTTAGAGGTAGACAAGGAGTCAACAAAGTATTTTCTATATGTACTTAGTGGTGATTAAAAAGAAGCACCCCTGTCTCTCATTTCTTTAAAGAGCAAGGAATCACCAGACTGGATTAGTGCAGGGTACATGTAACTCAGCATCGTGTCTCCAGCACATCTGTCTATTCCAGAGGAAGGTGCAGGGAGCTCTGAGGTGGATAATTCTGGAGTAACCTCAACTCATGGGTGGTTGGCTTCTGCCCTGAAATGTGAGGCTTTATTATCCTTCTTACTTCTTTAATCCTCTCTAACTCAATCCTGGATGCTCTCAGGATTCATATAAATCTCAAATCCCTTTTTGAATCCTCCCACACTTCTGCCAGTTCAGACTAGCCTTCTGTGTGTGGCATGCTGGCTATGAGCAGGACAGATCCGGTGAGAATGCTGACGTGGATTAAAGATGCTGCCATATAGGATCTGCAGAAGCTCCATTGCCTTTTGGATCTCCAGGCTGAGGCTGGAGCCCTGTGGGGGGAAATGCCTCTGCCTGGAATGTCCCTGCTGCAGAAAGCTGATACCGACATTCTCCTGAAGTATAAATAGCTGCATCACTGGAGCATGTGTGTAGCCAGAGATAAGGATATGAGGCCCAAGCCAGACACAAAACAGCAACAGGTGCTGGAGAACTCCTTTGCAGCCAGGAGTTGCAGAGTCCAGCATTTGTAGTTGTTTCAGGCACAGGCATTAACTGCAAGGGGCCTACAGGACAGGTTTTGATTTCCTGCCATCCTGTCCTGAAGGGAAGGTGAGATGCTCTTCCATTCTGCTGATTCCTCCCTGCCTGACAAGGAATCCTGCCTGGCTCCTCCAGACTTTAAAGAAGAGTAAATTGTCTTTCAGGAGCAACCAATTTGTACCAGGCTGTAAATTGGTTGGTGGGCCTGCTCGCATGCAGGCAGGCTTTGTCCCCTTTGGAACTCCTCAGCCAGTCCAAACAATAGCCCATAAGACAAACTGTAACCCTTAATCCAAACAAATGAGCAAAACAAATCTTCAGCCTTTCTCCAGGCAGCAAAAGAGGCCATCTTAGCTCTGGCCCTTCCTAGAAGCAATCTCCACTGGGGTTTAGTCTGCCTCCTGGCCACAAACTGCTCCTTCTCCAGTTTGAGCTCCTTGCTCTCTCTCCACTTGGGCTTTTAACTGCTAGTTCCATAGTTTCTAGGGTCAGAAGGGACCTGAACAGATCTTCAAGTCTGACCCCCTGCCCTGTAGATCCCATGGCACGTGAGGTTTGCTGCCTGCCTGGAACTCAGATTTGGAACGTCACGGCAATGATCCCAGACCTCATCCAGCCCTCTGATCACTACCCCTTGGTCCTCATCCATGTGGACACTAATGACGTGCCCAGGAGTAGTTCGGACCATGTCATGAGAGACTACAAGGCTCTGGGAGCCAAGCTTAGGGAGATGGAAGCACAGGTGGTTTTCTCATCTGTTCTTCCGGTGAGCAGATGCGGATGGCACCACGAGGCCTGCATCGGAGAGGTCAACCGGTTGCTTTGGAGCTGGTGTTACCGGGCAGGCTTCGGATTCTTCGACTATGACCCTGCACTTCCATGCAGGAGACATGCTAGGGCGGGACGGGCTACATCTCTCCCCAAAAGGTAAGCGTGTTTTCTCTTCCAGGTTGGCTGATTTCGTACAGTGAGCTTTAAACTAGGTTCATTGAGGGATGGGGATGCAGAGGTGCAGGAGGACACTTCGATGTCAAGCCAGGTGAGAAGAGCAGGAACAACCCAGGTAAGTGACAAGGGCCCGGGCAAGCTTGGGAACAAGAGGGCAGCACGAACATCCATAGGAGGTCTCAATTGCCTCTACACAAATGCTAGAAGTATGGGGAATAAGCAGGAGGAACACACCCTCCTGCTAGCTAGCAAAAACCCAAACCTGGTTGGGCTTATAGAAACCTGGTGAGATTCTACTCATGACAGGGCAGTAGACATCGAGGGCTATAGGTTGTACAGATGAGATAGAGTAGGGAGAAAAGGAGGGGGGGAGGGGTGTACCGCACTATGTTAAAGAGCAGTACATGTCCTTGATGATCAGGATCGGTTCAGAAGAGGGGCAAACTGAGGCACTCTGGGTTAGAATGCAAGGGGGATGTGGGGAAAGGGACTTGTTAGTGGGCATCTACTACAGACCTCCTCACCAGGGGGATGAGCTGGACCTGGAGTTTTCAGGTCAGCTCATGGAGGCTGTAAGGACAAGGGATGTCGTCACGGGTGACCTAAACTACCCAGACATCTGCTGGGAGGATCAATCAGCCAGGCCTAAACACTCATCTAGGTTTTTAGCCTGCATACAGGACCTCTACCTAACCCAGGAGGTACATAATCCCACCAGAGGAAATGCCTTGCTGGATTTGGTCCTTGCCACAGGCAATGACCTGGTGAGGGATCTGCAGGTGCTCGACTACCTCGCTAGTCACTCACACTTGGGCTCCTACCCCAGAGCTGGTTGCCCCACTTAAAGGGCCAGACTACTCTGCTACATTTCTCAACATACAAGAGTAAAGTCTGAGATTCCCTTTTCCATGTTCAGTCCCTAACATCTGCTAAGTCTGCACTAGCATGTGCTGCTCCAGGGCAACAGAGGAGGTTGAATAAATGGGACTGCAGTGCCAGGTACCAATGCATGAGCTGGGGATTGATTGGCTTTCTTTATTGAGTGTAGTCATGTCAGGGCAGCCTGGTTCATGACTATAGTAAAAGGGCCCCAAGAAGATAGTAGCAGAGGGCCTTGAACACTCATCTTATTTCAAGACACTCAGTTTCAATCACAGAATGATTTGGTTCTTGAGGAAGAAGTCTCCAGCCCATGTATAGGACCAAGG